GGGTGATGGGGAGGGGGAGGAGGGCGGTAGGGGGGAGGGGAGAAGAGGAGAAATGGGTGATGGAAGGGAGACGAGAGGAGTGATGAAGAAGGGAAGGGAGGAGAAGTGGATGATGATGGGGGGAGGAAGGGAGGGGGAGTGGGCGATGGGGAGAGAGGAAGGGGAGAAAGAGGAGTAGATAGAGAGTAAAGATAAATGATGAGAGAAGGGAAAGTGGACCTTGAGGGTGAGGGAGAAAGTGACGAAAGTGGAGAGGAAGAGACGAAAGGAAAGATGAGGAATTAAGAAGAAGAAGGAAAGGGAGAAGATGGGAAAGGGAGGGAGGGGAGAAGCAGATAGGGAGGGCGAGGGAGAGCAGGAGGGGAAGGAAGGGGAATCAACGAGGGGGGGAAGGGAAGGGAGAGGGGACAGGAGGAAATTGTTTTGGCAAGGGAGGAGAGAAAGCGAAGGAGGGGGAAAGAAGGGAGAAGGTAGGGAGAAAGTCAGAGAGTGGAAGAGGAAGGGGAAAGGAAGAGAGTCAAGGAGAGGCAATGAAAGGAATTAGAGACGTAGGGAAAGGAAGAGAGGGCAGGAGAAGAGAGGGAACGGGAGTCAGGGAGGGGAGGGGAAGGGAGGGAAGCCACCGTGAGGAAGGGGAAAGAAGAGAGTCTGGGAGAGATTCGGAGAGAGGAAGGGAGGGAGGCAGAGAGGTGAAGGGAGGGGAGCCACCATAGGGGAGGGGAAGGGAGGAAGACAGAGAGGAGAAGAGAGAGAGAGAGGGGAAGGGAGGGAGAGAGGGGAAGGGAGGAAGACAGAGAGGAGAAGAGAGAGAGAGAGAAGGGGGAAGGGAGGGAGACAGAGGGAGGGAGAGAGGAGAAGGGAGGGAGAAAGGGTGGGGGAAGGATGGAGACGAAAAAAGAGAAGGGAAGGGAAGGGAAGGAAAAAGGGGGAGAGAGAGAGAGGAAGTGAAGGAGACAGAGAGAGAGAGAGAGTGCCAGAGAGGGAGATAAGGAGGGTAAGGGAGGGAGTCAGAGAAGGGAGAAAGGGATGGAAAAAAAAACGCCCCCCGAAAACCCACCCTGACCGTCACGAAACCGCCACGGTCAGGGTCGCCCTTAATTCCGCCCAAACCGCTGCCGAGTAAATACCGTCTGGCAGTGGGCGTGTCTGAGCGGGTGAGGGGCGTGGTCAGTGGTCAGTCCTCACCGCAGCGCTGAAATTTGGTCCTTTCAGTCATACACTTTTTTTTTTCTTTCTTCTTTTTTTTTTTTTACGTGAGTTTGTATGTATGGATGTTTGTTTGTTTGTATGTGTGTGTGTGTGTTGTGTATGCGTGTTGGGTGTTTTTGTAGGTGTGTGTGTGTGTGTGTGTTCGTGGTTTGTGTGTGTGTGCGTGTGCGTCTTGTGTGTATTTGTGTGTGTGTGTGTGTGCATGTGCGTGATTTGTGTGTGTGTGTGTGAGTGTGCGTGTGTGTGTGTGTGTGTGTGTATGTGTGCGTGTTGTGGGAGTGTGTTTGTGTGTGTGTGTGTGTGTGTGTGTGTGTGTGTGTGTGTGTGTGTGTGTGTGTGTGTGTGTGTGTGCATGTGCGTGATTTGTGTGTGTGCGTGAGTGTGCGTGTGTGTGTGTGTGTGTGTGTGTATGTGTGCGTGTTGTGGGAGTGTGTGTATGTGTGTGTGTGTGTGTGTGTGTGTGTGTGTGTGTGTGTGTGTGTGCATGTGCGTGATTTGTGTGTGTGTGCGTGAGTGTGTGCGCGCGCGCGCGCGCGTGTGTGTGTGTGTGTGTGTGTGTGTGTGTGTGTGTGTGTGTGTGTGTGTGTGTGTGTGTGTGTGTGTGTGTGTTGTGTGTATTTGTGTGTATGTGTGCCTTCACATTAATCGTTCCATCGCTTTTGATATTTTTGAAATATGTCATGTACTACAGTAATTTCTTTTTATCTCCACTTGCTCTGTGTCGCTCTTTTCTCATCCCACTATAAAGATCATATAAATACATATATAGACGTAAGCATAATATATATACACATGAATATATATATATATATATATATATATATATATATATATATATATATATATATATATATATATATACTGTACTTATATATATTTGATTTTATATATGTATATACTTTCACTTTTGTCGTATATTTTCTTTATTCTTTCTTTCTATCTTTCTTTCTTTCTTCCTTTTTTCTTATTTTATGTTTATGGCTCCTTCTTATTCACCTCATTGCATCTCCGTATTGATTTATTTTTGCAATAGACCTTATCCTTGTATTTCATGTGTTAATGTGTAAATCGTTCCACGTATGTTACCAAAATCTGATTTTTAATTCTGCCCTTGGCTATTGCTATTAACACTACATAGCAATTATAGTGTTTTATAGTATCTTATGGTACCTTATAGTATATCATAGTATCGTATAGTATGTCATAGTATCTTAAAGTACCTTATAATACTTCATATCATATTACAGTAGCTTATAGTATTTTAATGGAGCTTGTAGTACGGTATCTCATA